GCAACAGGTTGACAAACATGGTTTCGCAACGCGGGCTTTTCAACAAAAAGAAAAACAACTCGCACGAAAGCGCTTGCGAGTTCTAACACAAATATGTTATTCAATGTGTTCATACGTTGCTACCAAGCGGGTTTCGCGCGCAGGCGCGTCGAAATCGTTCGAACGCCCTTACGCGCGTGCTGTCGCGAGAACCCTTTTTTGCAAAAGACGAGGCCAAGTGCGCGCGCGCGTCGTCGCGCGCGCATGCTGCAATCAATCAAACACCGAGTGTCCCGAAACCATGAAACAACATGCGGCCTCAAAACATCAGTTTTCAAAAACGAGTTTGCGCTCGCGCTCTTGCGAGATTTTAGCGGCACGAGCTTTTTTTGTCAACGGACGCATGAAATTCTGCCAATCGGGCCTCTCCCGCCGCATGCCGAAATCCACCGACCCTGGTGGCGTGTGGAATGGGTTGTTCTTCTCGTCCGTGCCTCCTTCCCTGTCCCATTTTCTCCGTCTCCTTCTCGTTCGTATCCCCCTCCTCCTCCTCCTCCTCCTCCTCCTCCTCCTCCTCCTCCTCCTCATTCATCTCTTCCTCCTGCGTAAAGTAAATTGACTCAAAGGGTTTCCCCTTCTCTGTGTTCCCTTCCCGAGCCGGGGGGGGGGTCCAGGGGGGGTCCCGGGGGGGGGTCCTCCTCCCTCCTCCCTCCTCCTCCTCTCCTCCTCCTCCTCCTCCTCCTCCTCCACCTCTCCTCCTCCTCCTCCTCCTCCTCCTCTCCTCTTCGTCCTCGTCCTCGTCCTCCTCCTCCTCCTCCTCCTCCTCCTCCTCCTCCTCTTCACACACACACTTCCCTCGCCTACCCTGTCACGTTGTCCTTTAGCTCCTTCCTGTGATCACACATCCCGTCGCCATCGACGGCCAATACCTCCAGGGTCGGCGGCACCGGCCGTAAGGCATTCACAATGCTCGCGCGCCCTTGCGCGCGTGCTGGGGGGGCACGATCCGTGTCAAATAACACCACGCCGCCACTCCAGCGCGCCGGTCGCGCGCACATGTCGAACTCCTTCCAAAACTTTCATCACCGACGCGGGGACGCCGTCATCGTCGTCGGCGTGATCAGCATTGGCACCACTGGCCGTGCTGTCGTCGCTGTCAACCTCGCTACCAAAATCGCTACTATCATCATCGTGTCTACCGTTGTCGACGTTGCGATGATACCGCGCCCGCCAAAGTCGCCGACCCGCACTGAAATGCCCGCTGGGATGTGCCCAGCAGTCAGCGCCACTGTGGCCGCGTCGGTCGCGCCAAACTAGCTGGCCGCTGCGCGCGCGTGCATGAACGGGCTGGCGCGGCATCAGAGACGCACCAGCCAGCGCCAAACACTCATCGCACTCGCCACTGAATGGGTTTTGCACCTCAAGTTGCGGGTGCGTGGGTGGGATGTTTGCAAGAGAGCTGGATGTGTCAACTCGTTTGAAAAAAAAACAGCCGCACCACATATATTGCACCGCAAAGACTGCAAGAGCCTGCCGTTTGGGGTACACGCTGGCAAACATATACGTATATAAATATGCGTGTACGCATATGGATGCCACCGTTCTCGTTGGAATCCCGAGAGTAGTGTTTTGGCATGCTTCAGGGTCTTCAAACGGTTACCTTCCAACGATGCAGTTCCCTCAATGGAAATGATCCATTGCAGTGGCCTATGAAGAGGGAGCTTGGAGGGAGGGTTATTCCGACATCGATGATGACTCTTGGGTTTGCACTGGTCCTCCTCCCCCTCCTCCTCCTCCTCTTCCTCCTCCTCCTTCTCCTCCTCCGCCCTCCTCCAACTCCAACTCCTCCTCCTCCGCCTCCTGTTCCTCTTCTTCCTCCCGCAAGTCATCCTCCTCGTCCTCGTCGTACATGCTCGTGCTAGGACGAGACCTAAGCGAACTACATGATCCATAACAATATCCCTGATAAGCGCGTGCCCTCACCATCCATATGCTGCGCCGCCGCCGCCTCCAGCGACGCGCCCCCGCGCGACCCGCGACTCGGTCGCGGTGGGCGCGCAGCCAAGGGAAAGGAGGTCCATGTCCTTCTCCTGCTCCTGCTCCACGGACGTTTCCTGGGGGGGCCTTCAGCCGTGGCGACGAGGGCCTCTCAGGAGGCCCCCAAAAGGTCAAACCAATGAAAGGGTCGCGGTATCGGCACCGCTTCCTCCTCTGACCCTCCCCACCCCCCCTCCCTCGCTGCTGTGGGTCCTCCTCGTCCTCCTCCGGGGTCGGCACCCGCACCTCCACAGAGAGCTCCCCGAGAGTCTCGCGCTTCTGCTCCTCCGCCCGGCGGAGAGGAGGGGAGCACCGGAGCGCAGAGGGGGGGAAGCGAAGAGGCCGAGGCTCGAGGACTGGACCTGGACTTCTCTCACCCCCTGGGGCCTGGAGGGGGCTGCTCGTCGCCGCGGCTGGGTCCGCCTCGAAGTTCTGGCCCTGCCTGGGGGGGGGGGGGGGGGCGACCCCCCGGTGCAGTCGGGCGTGTCCCCCTGCAGGGGGATTTTGGGCGACAAATCCGCCGACCCCTTGGGGTCATCGGCGTGTGAGATGCTTCCCCCCTCCCCAAACCCCTCCCCCCGGAGCCTGGTCCGGTCGTTTTGGAGGGGGGGGGGGGGGGGTCCGGCCGGATTCCCCGGGATCCGCCGGCGCGGTCCGGGGGGGGTCATCCGCTCCAGAGAGTCTGCTGGGGGGGCCGCAAACGAGCGAAGAGGCTCCCAAGAAGCTCTGCAGACGGTCCAAGAGGGCCCCGAGTCGCCGAAAAAACACTCGAAGACGGTCAAGATGGCCTCCAGATGGCCCCAGATGCCTCCAAGACGCCCCAAGAAGCTTCCAAGACGCCTCCCAAGATGGCCCCAAGAGGCCAAAATCGTCGATTTCCATTGGTTTTTTCAACGTTTTTGGCCTTCGCGTTTTTTCGGGCTTCCGACGCTCCAAGACGGCGAAAGAAGCCCCCAAGACGGCATCAAGACGACCCGAGAGGCTCCCAAGTGGGCCCCAACACGGCCCAAGAGCGCCTCAAAACGGCTCAAGAGGGCCTTCAGACAGTCCAAGAGGGCCCACAGAGGGGCCCAAGAAAGGCTCCAGACGGGGACCACGAACCTAAAATTCTAGCCTTCCGCCCCAAAAGGCGCCAAGGAGGCCCCAAGAGGCCTCCAAGAGGCTCCAAGAAGCCCCCAAGAGGCCCCCAACAAGCCCAAAAAAAGCCCCAAGCTGCCCCAAAACAGCTCCCCAGAAGCCTCCAAACTGCCTCCCGCAGGCCCCCGAGAGGATTCTCACGACGACGGCGCCAGAGGCTCCCACAACGGTCAACGAAGCCCCCAAGATGGCCCCAAAAAGGTGCCCAGCCTACGCCGTCGAGTCTGTCGCCGCCATTGTCGTCCTCGTCGTGTTCTCCTGCTCCTTCTCATCCTCCTCTTCCGCCCCCTCCTCCCGTCTCCCCTCTCAGCTTTCTGTCTCGTATTCCCTCCACTGGCTCACTTTTCACCTTCTCCGCCTTTGGCTGCTCCCCCATCCTCCCTCCTCCACGTCCCCCTTATCCATCCCGTCCCCAGCGGTCAGATTCCTCGCAACTTCCGTGCCTTGTCGCAATGCTCGTCACTTGGTTCCGCCGGGCGTTTCGGAGGGTCTCTCCGCGGCGCTCGTCCCGCTTTAAAACACTTCGCGCACACAACTGGGTTGTTTCGCTTGAAATAATTCTTCTTCTGGTCTTTCGACAAATGGCCCCCGTCTGAAAACGCTGGTTTCTTCCCGTCCCCGTTCGGTGGGCACGCGGAGCATTCAAACTTTTTCGCCCCCGTGCGCGCATCGCCCCAGAAAAAAAAACAAGGGGTCGGCGGATGTGGCGTAAGCTTGAAGAATCTAAAATAGTCAGGAAGTGTTCCCAAATAGCCCAGAAATCATCAAACAAGAATCCCCAAGCTATTTTTTCACTATCTTTGAGTAATTTCCTCCCGTAGACCCGTAGAGAGAGAGGGAGAGAGAGAGAGAGAGAGAGAGACAGGCCCGACTCCACCCCAGGGGCCCCTCACCGCGGCCTCGGCCCTCGGGGCTCCCTCGGACGCTCCCGCCGGCTCCCGGGCTCTCTCCCCCAGGAGCCCTCACCTCGGCCTCCCTCGGCCCTCGGGGCTCCCTCGGGCGCTCCCGCCGGCTCCCGGGCCCTCTCCCCTCGCCTCGGGGCGTCCTTCCGGCCGCTGCGCCTCGCCGAGAGCGCGTTTCCCCCCAGGGGGGGGGGGGCCGCCGCGCTCGGCCCCCGAGCGGCCGCCGGAGGCCCGAGCGGGAGGGCCGAGAGCCCAGCACCCTCGCGCGGTGCAAAGACAAGAATTTGAGGTCGGGCCTGTCCCCCTTATACAAGGGGGATTTTCGGCGAAAAATAAAAAAGGGTACCCCCAAGAATAGTCAAACAGCAATCCAGAAATAGTCTGGGGACTATTTTTTTGTTTCTTTTACCTTTGGGGGGTATTTTTTTATTGTTCGTCGAAAATCCCCCCTGTAGGGGGACAGGCCCGACATAAAACAAGACAACGACGGAACGCCCTTCGGCGATTGTCAGCCTCCGGGGGCCCTCACGAGGCCCCGGGGGCCCTTCAGACAGTGCAGACTCGGGACGGACGAGACAATCCCCAGGAAGGGGCCCAGACCTCTGCACATCGGGAGCCATGCTGCGAATCAAGCGCGGCGTCGGATGCTCTCGGGGAGAGGCGGAAGCTGACATGTTGTGATGATTTCGGTGCCCTTGTCGGGCCTCGGCACGCCCTTGGAGGCATGCATCGGCCATCGGCCTCCGTGCGGACCTCCAGAAGCTCCAGAGGCCTCCAGGGGCCTCCAGAGAAAGGGGAGAGGGGACGCTCTGGGTTTTGGGCAGACAACTGCCCAAAACCTCCACCGGAGCTCAGAGTTGAGAATCCTGGTGCTATAGGTTGCCCCCCCAGGGAGGTCAGGGAAGGAGGAGGGGAATAGAAGGACCCGGAAGGACGGCCTGCTTTTTCACCAGGGCTGCACGGCAGGCCACAACGCTACACACGCACTGCGGGGGGGGGGCCGTGGAGGACACCGCTCAGCGCACGAACGTCATGGGCCTGCTGGCCTTGAATGTGGTGCGCAGCCTCTTGGCCACCAGGGGCAGCTTCGTGATCACAGGGTACTTGAGGCCCGAGTCGTGCATCTCCGTGACGTGATCCCTCCTGCAGGCGCTTGCCGGGATGGCCGTTGCGTGGATGATCTGGATGGACCCCGCCTGGGCACGGTGGCGACCAGCCATCTCCTGGTACAGCTGGCTGATGGCACCATTGATGGTGATGTCGCGGAACTCCTTGTACATGTTGTGCGTGTCGGTGCGGCTCTCGTAACGCAGCCATACCTCACCAACCGAAGCTATCCACCACTCCCCTAACCCTCTTCCTCCCCTCATTCCTCTGCCCCTGCCTTTTCTGGAGGGGGGCAGAAGATGAGAGCGGTGGATCTCGCGATCCTTGGGCGGCGGAGCACCCCGTAGTTCTTCACCTTCGTGGGCCCCCGGTCGAACAGCTCGTTGACCGCCAGCAACTCGCCCCCACTCTTCTTCGCCTTGTTCAGCTTCTTCATGAAGTCCGCTACCGTGCCGCGAGGCACTGAGTGGAGTGTCATCTGGCCCCTTCAAGTCTTAGGCCGGACATGCCCTCCTGCAGACGGATCTTGGCAGAAAAATCAAACATCATGAACAGATGCTCCAAACATCGTCACGAGGGCCCGAGCAAAATTGTCACCACACGATGTTTTTATATACTGTTCTTGAACTTTCCTCCTGCAGAGGGCCATGCCCGACACTTACTTCAAGTCCTCAAGGCCCGGAGCCTCGCACGGCCCCCAAAGACCCCCAGGCGGCCCCCCCATGCAGGAGAGGCCCCCCATGGCGAGATCCCGGGAGGCCTCCGAGGCGCCTCCGGTCCACGAGCCTTAAGTCGGGCCTGTCCCCCTACAGGGAGATTTTCGACGAACAATAGAAGATACCCCAAGAACAGTCAAAAAATTGTCCAAAACTATTCTGGGGACTATTTTTTTGATATTTCTCTACCTTTTTGGCGCATTTTTGGAGTATTTTGAATTTTTGGTCGAACATCCCCCTGCAGGGGGACACGCCCGACTTAAGACGAGCCCCCCTCTCGAGCACGGCGACTGGCACGACATCAACACGCGTCCCGAGGGCAGCGGGTCCTGCACCCCCGGAGGCACGCCTCTGGACCATAGCCTCTCAGCCCGAGTAGAGGCTGCGTCGAGGGTGCCAGCGCCGTGGGAGGGCCCCGGGGGCCCGAAGGAGGCCAAGAGCCCTTCGGGACCTGTTGCCCGCAGGACGCCTTGCCCCGTGCCCCCATTGAAGGGGAACTGGGACACACAAATAAATAAACACAAATACCCGGATTCCCCATATTTCCCAATATTTTCTGGGTTTCTGTCTTCCCGCCCACTTCCCATATTTTCCTTATTTTCTTGGGAATCGACGATTAATTGTGTCTGTGTGTTTCTTTCCCTCCTGACCCATGGCGAGAGGAGGAGATGGACCCCAGGCCGCTGGATACCAGAAGCGCGACTTGGCCAGGACCTGTCGGCGGCAACTCATGGACGCGAGTCGACGCTGAATCGACGCTGGTCGACGCTAAATCGACGCGAGTCGAAGCTAAATCGACGCTAATCGACGCTAACCGACGCTAAATCTGCGCTATCCCGTCGACTCCCAGACGAGAATGGACGCTAGTCGACGCTAAAGACGGAATTAACAGGGTACGCCAGGGCCTGGCGGCCAGGCTCCCATGATTTGCTACCGAAGGACCTTGTTCTTGGCGAACATGCGCATGCGGTAGATCTTCGGCGTTGGGTTCTTCGGCGTCGGCGCCGCGCGGCCCACGATCTGGTACTGGTGCATCTTCATGGCGAGCGACGGGTCGACCGCAAACTTGCCCATGGCTCGAGAGGTGGGGGCCTGTCCTCGCTGGGCAGCCACATGCGAATCTTACACATGCCGCCAATCGATCTGTCAGGGCCCCGTAGACCAGGACACGCTAGACAAGGCATCTAACAACCCTCGAAACCAATTTTTCCAGCCGGCGGCACCAAACAAAAACTGCACTGCAACATTTCGTGAATAAACTGGGGCACACGCCCTCGAAGCATGCAAACCACCCCCTAGACCTGGGCAACGATCCGAATCCTGCAGTGCAGCAGAGAACAAGTACACTGGACGACCAAATCTGACTTTGCAGGAAGGGGTGTCGTTTCTCCGACTTGCCGAGGCCCTGGATAGTCTGTGTCCTGGTCTCCAGGGGCTGGACCAGTAGGGGATCGCCGGAGGGAATCCAAGTCGCATATACCCACTCGCAATTGCTGCCCTCTGATTAATCCCTACTGGTGCAAGTCCATGGGCAGCAAGGAAAGGGCTCACGCGTGGCTGCCCACTCGCCCTGGCGCCTTCGGCGGTACTGATCCCTGCAGCCTGAGTGGCCTGGGCCGAAATGGCTACGGAGCGGGGATGGGGAGGAAAGGGAGGAAGGCGAGGAAGCCTGGGATACCAACAAGCGAAAGCAAGTTGAGCCCAGGACCCCCCTGCAAAGGCACCGGGACGCTGGCAAACAAGGGTCGATTCTTTCCGGGATGAAGGCAAGCCCTGTAGCGCAACCGCTTTCTGAAAGCAATTTCTCCTGGGAGGCCATGCAAGTACACCCCACGCTGTGAGAAACGACACCGTTGAAAACCAAACCAACCTTGTGAACCCCATCTTTCTTCCTGACTTCGCGACCCGAACCGATCCGCGAGGGTCTGCGGTACCCGAGACACGGCGAAACATGCCGTGGTGGTTCTGCTCACGGTGCCCGTGTCCCAGAGCCGTGTCCACCACCTGGACTCGTGTGCCGCGCCGCGTCCAGCCATGGCGACGAGGAGTCCCCCGAGGGGCCCCAGACACGAGCACGAGAGCGAGGGGGGGCAGGGCGACCCCAGGCCCAAGGCTTCCGAGCCATACTTTGGCCCCCAGGCGGCCGTTTCGGCACGACTCTGGGATCTCTTGCTAGCGTCGACTGGCCATCGCTCGGACGTCCATTCCCTGTGCTTTTTTCGGCTTCGTGCGTGGTTTTTTCGCCAAATGATCAAGGATGCTCCTCGATGCTGCTCGCCGAGGAAAAAACGCACACTTCCGAGCGATGCCAAGTCGATGAAGCGCGACCAGGGAAGCACAGCCCCCGGGCACCGAAAATGATGCAAGGGGCGTTGTCGTTGTAGATCGCAGGCCGGGGGCCCAATCTGAGCCGCAAGACTTCCCCTTGCAAGTCAAGGTGCGAGCCCGAGGAAGAACACTGGAATTGAAAAATGAGCACCATCGGGGGACCGACCAAACCTATTCTTTCGAAATGAGAGCTCAACAAAACCAGCAACAACAACAACAACCACTTTAAGACTGGTCGGTCTTGCCTGCCCGCGTGCGGTTCACCACGTATATCCTGAACCCTCGATACCCGTCCCCTGCGTCTTCGAGCGTACGCCCCTTGGGGTATATCTTCCTTACCTGCCACGTGTGATTGGTGTAGCCCCCAAACCAAAGAGAAGAGAGGACGGATGGAAGGGGGAGGGAAAGGATGGAGCACGGAAATAGCAGGAGGGGGGCTAGGAACAGAACACAAGTTGCAGAACCAAGCGGGCTGATCGGGCGGACAGACCGTATCGGGCGGATCGGGAAGGCGGGCCCAAGCAGCCAGGTCGAGCAGGCGTCTTGCTGAAGCGTGAACCCTGCATGAACCGTGAGGAAGTCTCAAGCGATAGCGCGATTCCCAAATGAACCGTGAGAAAGGCAAGAGCGAGAGCACGATTCCTCAGCGTCGATAAAAAGCTGTTCGAAACTATTGAGGGGAAGTGCCCCGTTTGATTGTGAAGAAGTACTTGGCCTGAGCTGGTGTTGTTGTACCTCGGAGGCCAGGGGCCCAGTTTGGTGACCCCAGATTTCCCTGTGTAATCTCAAGGTGCGAGCCCTGGGAGGAGCACTTTCATTGAAAGAACGCAATAAGCAATAGTCACCGAAGGGGGGATCAACAACAATGATTCTTTCGAAATGGAAACTCATCAAAAACAACAACAACAACGACAACAACAACAACAACAACAACAACAACAACAATGGCAACAGCCACAGCAATCCTTGTAAGACGGGTCGCTCCTACCTGCTCGCGTGCCCTTCAGCACGTATGTCCCAAACCCTCGATACTCGCCGTCTTCGTCTTCGATCGTACTCCCGTGGGGGTATAGTCTCTTTACCTTCCACGTGTGATTGGTGCAGCCTCTTTGTATAAAAGCAACAAAAGGGGACGAAAGGACGGATGGAAGGGAGAGGGGGTAGCATGGAGGGCGAGAGAGTGTCGCGGGAGGGGGGCTAGGCGCAGAACACGAGTTGCAGAACGAGACGGGCTGATCGGGCCGGTCGGCCCTGACTGGCGGGTCGGGAAGGCTGGCCTAAGCGGCCAAGTCGAGAAGGTGGCTTGCTGAAGAGTGAATGCTGCATGAACTGCGTGGAAGTGTTGAGCAATAGCGCGATTCCCAAGTGAAGCGCGAGAAAGGACAGAGCGAGAACACGATTCCTAAGCGTCGAGGGCGCACAGTTTGAATACATTGCGGGGAAGTCTCCCGCAAGAGCGCGATTCCTGCGAACATTGTGATGAAGTCCCGCACGAGAGCGCGAGTTTGAAATTAACTGTGAGGAAGTCTAGGCGGGAGCCGTTGTTGTTTCTGTGAATCGGGGGCCAGGGGGCAAGTTTGGTGACACCAGAATTTCCCACATAAAAAACAAGGTACGAGCCCCTTGAGGAGCACCTCAATTGAAAAATCTCGATGGTCACCAGATGGGGGATCAACAAGACTTCTTTGCTTTTTAATGCTCAACAACAGCGACAGCAGCAGCAACAGCACTAATTTTAAGACTGTCGCTCCTTTCTGCTCGCGTGCCATTCAACACGTGTACCCCAAGCCCTCCGCACCCAGTACCCGCCATCTTCGTGTTCGGTCGTACCCCCTCTTGGGGGTATATCTTCCCGACCTCCCGCGTGTAGTTGGCGCAGCTCCTAAACACAGGTGAAGGAAAGGAGGAGTGAAGAGACAAGGGGGAGAGAGAAGGATGTAGCACAAGAGAAATTTGCAGGAAGATGGTTAGGAACAGCACCACAAGTGGCAACACCAGCCTGGCGTGTCGGGCGGGCGGACCCTAATGGGCAGGTCGGGCGGGCGGACCCAGACGGTCAGGTCGAGCGGGCGGTTCGCTGCGTCAGCCAACCCATCATGAAGGAAGTTTCGAGCGATAACGCGATTCCCAAATAAATCGGGTGGAAATTCAAAGCGAGGGCGTGATTTGTGAGTCTTGGGGGCACGGCGCAACAATATATTGTGATGGGGGTACCACGCGAGAGCGCGGTTCCCAAATAAAGTATGAAGACGTCCCGCGAGAAAGCGCGAAATTGAAATAAGTTGTGAAGAAGTCTAAGGCAGGAGCCGCTGTTGCTGTAAGCCCGGAACCACGGGCGCAATTTGGTGACCACCGACTTTCCGCTTATACAAAACAGGGCACGAGTCCCGGGAGGAGCACTTCCACTTACAATCATCATACAATCATCACCGGGGGGGTCAACAAGAATTGTTCGTCCGAAGTAAAGGTAACAGAAAGAGTGGCAAAACCAGCAGCAGCAACAACAACAGCAACACAATCAGTGTTGCACGGTTCGCTCTCATCTGCCCGCGTGCCACTCCACACGTATACACCCAAAACCCTCGATGCCCGCCCGCCTCGTTTTCGAGCGTACCCCTCGGGGGTGTACCTTCCTTACCTGCCGCGCGCGACTGGTGGCGCGACTGGCTATCGCTCGAGACTTCCTCGCGGTTCATGCAGGACGCACGCTTCAGCAACCCACCTGCTCGACCTGCCTGGGCCCGTCAGGGCCAACCCGCCCGATCTGCCCGTCTGATTCTGCCACGTGGTTTTTGCTCCTACCCCCCTCATGCTACTATCTCTCGTGCTCCATCCCCCTCCCTCCCCCATTGTCCCTTCCATCCAGCCGTCTTCCCTTCCTCTGCCTTAGGGGCTGCTCGAAACACACGTGGCAGGTGAGAGTGATTTATCCCCAAGCGGGGTACGCTCGCAGACGAAGAGGGTGGATATCGAGGGTTTGGGACATAGGCGCTGAATAGCACGCGAGAAGATAAGAGCGAACAGTCTTAAACTGATTGTGGTTGTTGCTGATGTTGTTGTTGTTGTTGATGCTGTTGATGTAGTTGCTGCTGTGGTTGTTGCTGCTTTTTGAGGAGGGAAAGGGGTGTGGTGCAAAGGGGTGCGGTGCAAGCGCTGGAAAAGGCGATATTACCAAAGAAATCTGCAATTGCCTTACATGAGGATAACACCCACGTTGGTTTTGCGACGATCGCGTCGAACAACGTCAGACCTGATTACATATCGTCCGAAAAGGCACAATCAAACTTGAACAACGACGCGAATGCCAACCCCAAATTGTCCGATCGCCACGCCCGCGACCCCCAAATATCGTATCACAAGCACAAAGGTCCTGCAGATCCCTAATCGCGAAAAAATGACCTTGGAAATTCCGAATCGCCAGAACGTGATTCCGGAAACAACTACTTCGCGTACAAACCAATGTTCTGAAAATTCCGAAACGACGATCCGGAAATTCCAAAATCACAAAAGGAATTTTGGACATTCCAAAATCACACACATAAATTCCCTAAACTTGGACATTCAAAAAATCACAAATCACCTCAACTCGCCTGCACATCGTTTCTGGATGGGCTGGTGGGGATACTTTTTTTTACGGCCGCAGGCGGAACCGCCAGCGGCAGGAGGTCACGGTCGGGCTGCGGCCGCGACTAGGGGGCGGGCGCGCGCGGGGCCGCGGTCAGGCGGCGGGCAGCGGCAACCCAGGGCGTCTGAGAAGCCAGGGCGTGCAAATCCAGGGAGTCTGCTGGGCAGCCCCTGAGGTGAACATGCAACGGCACATCCAGGGAGTCTGAGAGGTCAGCCACTGAGGAGAGCCGAGCGCAGCCAAAATGGCGCGCAAGACGTTCCCACTGTGAACGAAACGGACGAACAGAGGTAGGGAACGATTTCCGTGCGGGACGTCAATCCAGGGAGTCTGACGGGTATGGGCAGACACTGGTGGGGATACGCGAAGCGTCTAGAATTGGCACCACGCAGCCGCTCGGATTGGACGGGCCTCGCGTGGAGGAGTCCGAACCTGCTGATCTGACGTCGGTTGATGCGGTCATCGCGGAGCCAGGGCGGTTAACATCGGCATGTAAGGCACTTGCGGAGATCGTCGACAACATCGCCATTTCCAGCGCTGGCACCGCACCCCTTTACAGCACACCCCATCTCTCCCCCTGGATTGTTGTTGTAATAAACTGAGGGCCAAGCAAAAAACACAGTTTGGTGACCTCATATTTCCCATAATAAAGTGCGAGCCCAGGGAGGAGCACTTGCATTGCAGAACATAGAACGGTCGAAAGGATCATTCAACATCTCGATCGTCAATCCTTGATCATGGGGTTTGAGGCAACAGCAACTCAAACCCTTCGCGCTTACCAGTAGGCTACACGCAAGAGTGACTCTAGGCGAGAGTTACCTGTGGTGCGCGGCTCTAGGTGTGGGGGGGAACCCACGCGCGCAAGCCACTGCTAGAGGGACCCCTGTGGGCCCTAACCAGAGGTCAGCCCTTCGAATCGCCACCTGGACCCGCCGCCGAACCCGAGGGCGCCCCATCGAGGAGCTTCCGCGGCGCCGCAACACTACCTGCGCAATCGCCGCCGCCCTCGCCGCTGCTCGCCGCTCGCGGTCGCCGCCGCTCCCTCCTGTCACCGTCGCTACCGCCGCCTCTGATTGATCCTCGGTCAGCTCTGGGGAGCAAGGATCGGAGTCTCGAGGCCTCCCAAGTGGGGTCGGAGTAGATGGGGTCGGAGGATCGATGGTGCATCGCCGACACATCGGCGATGCATCGGTGATGCATCGGCGATGCATCGGTGATGCATCGGCGATGAATCGTCGACGTCGGCGGTGCATCGGCGACGTCGGCGTGAAGCAAATCGGGCTCCGCATCGAGCCGCATCGTCGATGCGGCGCGCACCTCCGACGCCATCTACTCCGACCCCTCCTGGGAGAGGCCTGGAGAGTCGGCGGTGACGCTGAGCTGTGTCGCCACCGTCGCCGCCGTCGCCGACGTCGCCACCTCCGATCCTCGGTCAGCTGCCAGAGCCGCCGCGCCCGTGCCGCCAGGCGCGAGAGCGGCGCCAGCGCAGAGGACCAGCCCTGCCGGGCCTCCGCCGCGCCAGCCTCGCACGGGAGGGCGAAAGGCAATGGAATGGGATGGCATGGAACCGCACAAGGAACTGGCAATGAACATGCAGGAGGCAGCGCCCCCGGCGCAGCCTCACAGCTGGAGCGCGTCTCTCTATTTTTGGCGATGCTGGGCGTTACAGGGAGGGGGGGCGGGGGGGGTATAACGCAACGCCCCCCGAGCAGTGTGGCTCTGGCACCACAGGAGCCCTTTTTAAATTTTCCGGGATAGCGCCCGTCATCGGCCTCGCCCCCACCCCAGATGACATCACGTTCCGCGCCGGCGGCGTCCAGGAATGCCCAGGGATGACCGGCGCCAGCTGAGCATGTAGGTGGCGATCTGCCCCACAGCGCTTGTGTACACCACAATGCTCGCGTGCACCACAGCGCGCGTGTACACCACAGCGCCTGCGTACACCGCGACAGCCGTGTGCAACGCAGCCCCTGTGTACACCGCGGTGCTTGCGTGCACCACAGCGCCAGTGTACACCATGGCGAATGTGCACATCGCAGCAACCATGTGCAACACAGCGCCTGTGTACACCACAATGCTTGCGTGCACCGCAGCGCCTGTGCACACCACAGCGCCTGTCTACACCACAGCATCCGCGTGAAACGCAGCTCTGGTGTACACCACAGCGCCTGCGTGCATAGGACAGGTAGAAGGAGCATGTAGGTGAGGATCTGCTGCGGACAGCTAAACGCCACGCCAGGGAATTGCTGATAATAGAATGCAGCGTTCTTCCCTCCTCCATCCTCCTCACCCTCCACCTCCACCTTCTTTTCCTCCTCCGCCTCCACCTCCTCCTCCTCCTCCTCGCCCATCCTTCCACCCTGTCGCGCGGGTCGGCGCCACCAAGCACGTGCAAATCTCAGCGTGAACCGCAGAATCGTTTATTGAACCAATCCGCTTGGTTCCCGGCCGGCCAATGCTGCTGGAGCCTCCTGGACGCAGATGGAAGGAGTTACGATAATGCAGGAAGACTCGGGAGGATTTGCAGATGCCAGCGGCGCTTCATTTTCCATAAGGATTCCTTTCCGGATCCCATATAAACCCATTGTTTTCTGTGGAATACACTGGCGCTCCATTTTGTCACAGGAATTCTTGCTAAATTCTATATGCAACAGTGGTGATCTGCTGTACACGGTGCCATTGTGGTGTACACTGGTGCTGTGATGCGCACGGCTGATGTGGTGTACGCAGGCGCTGTGGTGTACACAAGCGCTGTGGTGCTCGCAGACACTGTGGCACACACTTGCGCTGTGTTGCACGCGGCTGCTGTGGTGTACAAGGGTGGTGTGGTGTACGCAGGCGCTGTGGTGCACGCCGGCACTGTGGTGTACACAGGCGCTGAGGTGCAGATCGACACCGACATGCTACTGCTACCCCAGACGCCGCCAGCGCGAGACGTCGTGACGTCTCTCCCCCAGATGACGGCCGTCATCGGCCTAGGATGAAAAAAGCAAAAAAAAATCCAGCCGCGTCCGCGCGCACGACGACGATGAGCGACGAGCGACGAGCGACGAGCGACGAGCGACGAGCGACGATGACGACGACCACGACCACGACCACGACCACGACGACGACGACGACGACGACGACGACGACGACGACGACGACGACGACGACTGCGGACCACCCCTTATGCGGATTCCTATGCGGACGTCTATACGGATCCCGATGCGCACGGCGGCAGTGCCTGGGGCGCACTGGGGGGCGGGGGGGGGGAGCGTTACGTTATAGGGGGGAGGTGGGGCGCCCCCAAGCAATGAGGAACGCCGCTCCTGCGGCTCCCGTCGAAGCAGCTCACCACCCGGAGCAGAGAGGAGGGAAGGAGGGAGGGAGGGAGGGAGGAGGAGGCTGGAGGAGGCAGGAGGAGGGAGAAGGGATGATGAGGGAGAGGGAAGAGGGAAGGAGGGCTGTGGTACCGCTCGGCTGTGATAGCGGGGTGTGGCCCTCGGGCCGCGGAGACATCCCGTCACGTGCGCACAGGACGCGACAGGGATGCGGGCCAGTCGTCCTCACCGGACAAACGAGCCCTCATGCCTGTGGGGCGTACACTGCAGGAGCCTCGCCGCGCGCATGCCGCACCCAAGTGCGCGCGGCCAGGCCCACCCGACGGCATTTGCCAGCCAGCTCCCCCACAGGCCCCACGTCCAGCGAGTCACGTAGCGCCCACTGGCTCCCGCCCGCCCTGGCCCGCAGCACGCCTCCTGCAGCCCCCGCAGCGGGGCGCGCGCTTCGAGCAAATGGTCCAGGCCCGCTCATGACGCAGCTGGTGCGCGGCCTGGCAAGCCGGGCACGCCTGCGCCTCATATCGACCGTGTTCTGGCAACCACACTTCCGCTGGCACCCGCCCTGCGACCCGCGCCGCCAACCAAGTCCGAAAGCATCGCTACGGGGGAGGAGGTCAGTATGCGGAATCACCCCCTCGTTGAGGGCCACAAGCTGGAGCAGAAGCCATCCTGTTCCTGCGCCCGCACCGCGGGCATCAGGGCCGCGTATTTCCACTGCCGCACCGCCCGCCTGCGAGGCTTAAGGGAGGCGCGCCAAGTCTCGCCCAGGTGATCCGTGCAGAAATCCACCTGCACCCGGAGATGCGTCACCAACTCCTCCGCGTGCTCCAGCCAGGGAGTCCCCGTCACCAGCTGTGAGTCCAGCGCCACCGCGACAATCGGACTCGATCGGGGCAGCGCCAGCAACCGCGCGCGAGCGAGCGAGCGCCATTCGCTGCAGCAACTTCGCCCCCCAGCGCGTGAGCATGCGCGTTTCGGCTAGCGCCCGCGCGCGCGCCCGCGCTGCCCGAACGCCGTGCCCTTGCCAATTCCCAGGGGCACCTTGGCCGCGCCGTACTGCACCGGGTTGAGCTGCGTCTGCGTCTGCCGCCCGCAAGCCCTGCCCGTAGCTAGCCAAGAGCTCGGATGCGAGAAATGCTGCAGCTTCCGCCCGGGTCGGGATCTGCGCAGCCTGGTATTTGAGGGATGAAATAACGACCCTACCCTGGGTTACAAGTGCGTGGTCTGTAAACCTCCTGGGATCCCCCAAAGCCCAGAGCCGCCAGGACGCGGCACATCACGCAGGGTTTACCCTGTCAGCCCACAGGACTTTCAGCGCACAGCGCCTCGTAAACCAGGGTAGGGGCGTTTTTTTATGCCCTTGAGGTATGGCAGGCCGAATACGAGCGCCACCAACCTCTGCATGCCGTCACGAAGCCGTGCGCACACCTTGTCGTGCAAACTGTGAAACGCGAGGAGGTCGTCAAACGGCAACCCCAACATGTCCAGCGAGACCGCCGCAGCTGGAACTTCGCCAGCCACCCAACCAAAAGCAGCGCAGTCATCACGCCTACCTGCCCCCACCGCCATCCCCACCGCCATCATGACAGGCCTCTCGCGACCTCATTGAGAACGATGGCGCCAACGAGTGCAAAACTACGACAGGCCCCTGTTTGCAGCCACCGGATTGGAACAGGATTGTTTGATTCGCGGGTCGAGAGCGCACCTCTTCCGGTCGAGGCTAAGCGGGCCGCGCGAAGCTTGACTTAGGCAGAGAAGAGGAGGGAGGAAGCGGCGGAGCCTCAGAGCGAGGCCGAGAGGAGGCATAGCCTCGGATAAGGGCGGTGAGACGATTGGAGCAGGAAGGAGGGAGACGCCGGAGTTGCTGTGAGATCGTACGCTCCTCAGCGGTCGAACCCCGCACCCATATGCAGGCGGGGGACACCCGGGCGACCCTCGCCTCGCCGACCAGAGCCGTTGCCCAGGAATGCAGGCGGGCGGCGAAGGATGAGAATGAGGAGGAGGAGGAGGAGGGAGAGGAGGAGGAGGAGGAGGAGGAGGAGGAGGAGGAGGAGGAGGAGGAGAGGAGGGGGGAGAGGAGGAGGAGGAGGAGGAGGGGAGGGAGGAGGGGAGGAGGAGAGGAGGACAGGAAAGGAGGAGGAGGGGGAGGGAGGAGGAGAGGGAGAAGGATGAGGGGGATCCCTCCTCCTCCTCCTCCTTCCTCCTCTTCGTGTAGATCGCACAACGGCAATCGCGACGAATTTGACTTATCTGGGAGAGGTGCTCGCACCCCAGCCTCCTCCTTCTCCTGCTCCTCCTCCTCCGTCCTATTTCCTCATCCTTCTCCTCCTTCATCCCTCCTCCTCCTCCCTGCTCCCTCCTCCCTCTCTCCTTCCCTTTCTCCTCCTCCTTCATCCTTCCTCATCCTTCCTCTCCTCCTCCTCCTCCTCCCTCCTCCTCCTCCTCCTCCCTCCCTCTGGCTCCTGCTCCCATCCCCCTTCATTCCTCCCTCCTCCTCCTCCTCCTCCTCCTCCTCCTCCTCCTCCACCATCCTCCTCCCTCCTCCCTCCCTCCCTCCCTGCTCCTCTTCATCATCCCTCCTCCGAGGAGGGAGGCAGGATGAGGAGGAAGCGACGGAGGCACGATGAGAGAAGGGGGGCACGCTCCTCTTCATCATCCCTCCTCCGAGGAGGGAGGCAGGATGAGGAGGAAGCGACGGAGGCACGATGAGAGAAGGGGGGCACGAGGAGTAAGAGCAAGAGAACAATGCGTGATACAGGCGAGGCAAGAGAAAGAGAGAGAGAGAGAGGAGGCTCATCGAAGGAAGGGCGAGGCGGAGGGCGCAGGAGATGTCAGAGGAGCAGGGGCAGGAAGGGAGAGCAGGGACCGTCAGGACTGGGAATGGGGTGGGGCTGGAGGCGCGGCAGCCCCCCCTGTGCAGCTCTGGAGCCCCACCTGGGGGCCACCGTCGGGGCCCAGGCCCATGCCCGGCGACACCATGGGAGGAGGGAGAAGGCGGAGGAGGAGGAGGAGGAGGAGGAGGAGGAGGAGGCCGGCCTCGCCGGCGGTGCCCTCCTCGCCGCAGAGCGGCACCAGCGCGCCGCCCCGGGCGGCCCAGCGCGTGTGCAGCACGAGCGTGGCGCTGCCAGTGCCGCCGAGGCCGTCGCCGTCGAGGTCCTCGTCGTCGCCCGCCCGGACGTGCTCGGAGAGGTCGACCTCCGAGGGGCGGCGCTGCGCGGGGGGAGCAGCTCGGGGGGGTGGGGGGGCACACCTCGACCTGGAGCCCTCGGCGACGCTGCGTCGCCGATGGATCGGCGGCAGCCCCCCGAGGGCGAGTCCGCGGGCTCCTGGGGGGGCGTGGGCCATCGGGCACGAGTGGGCGATGGGGGCTCGATGCGCTCCCCCCTGATTGAGGCTGCACCCCTTGACGATGCCCCTGCGCCTCATTGGTGAAGCCGACGAGCTCGTCGACGCCGTCCTTCACCTGGGCCCATACACAGAGGCGCACCTTCGTCTTGTAGGCGGGAACGGGCACGTCGATCTCCGCGCCGAGCTCGGGCAGGAAGCAGCACCTGGGCCGTGCCCGTCTCTCGGGAGGGGGGGGGGCAGGCATGCGAGGCAGGAGGAGCCGCATGCCGCATGAGCACGACCATGGGACTGCCCTGAAAAGCACCTTCGCACCGCATGCAGCACCCTCTCGAGTGCCCACGGGCACCCTCGCATTCGAGCCGCGCTGCGAGAGAAACTGCCCCCGCCACGACCTGCACGGAGGGGCACGCGCCGCACGCCAGAAAACAGAGAAAGAGGGACACACGAACGAATAGACACAAGAGGACTCCCTATGCTTTCCTACATCTTCCTGGGAGTCGACGTTTGTGTGCCTGTGTGTGTGCCTGTGTGTCTGTGTGTCTGTGTGTCTGTGTGTCTGTGTGTCTGCGTGTTGTTTCCCCTCCCGAAGCAAATGACAGGCGCCGCACGAGGAGCGGCGGCGGCACCTGGCCGGCCGCCCCTGGAGCCGAGCGAAGCCGCTGGTGCGGTCCGTGGGGAAGCCGCCCTCCCTGGTGGGGATGATGCTCTCCAGCTCGTCCAGCACGGTCACGTACGCGAGCTTGCCGTCCAGGCCGTCGCGAGGGAGCCGGATGGAGCCGACCTTCCCGCGCCGGGGGACGCGCGGGCGCCCCGCGCCCCATGTTGCGCGCCCCATCACGCACCAGGGAGACAGATCGAAGCGAGGGGCGCGAACAGTCTGACACTGTCCCTTGGCGCGTGGCTACAGTGGGGCTCCGCGGTGCGGGTTCTCCTTGTCGTCGTCGCCGACGTTGACTTGATGACTGTCCCTGTCCCTGCCCTTGCTGATATTATTGCTATTGCCCTTGTCGCGTGCGCGAACCGCGTCGTGACCCGTCCGCGACCCGCCAGCGACCCGCCAACGACCCGCCAGCCACCGCGCCCGCGGCGACCCGAGCCAGTCGCGACGTGCGTTTCCCGAGATTCCCGCCCTCTCACCCTTGTGGGAAGCTGCCGAAGCCTGCACGTGACGGCGCCTTACAATTAGCTGCCCCCCGCCCCGCTTTCCGTCCAGCCGACGACCTTCACCTTCAGCCTGGTCCTGTGCTTCGAGCCCATGATATCCTTCCGCAGGTTGAAAGCGATTTCGTCCTGGATCTGCCGCGCACAAGTGCGGGCGTGGTCAACTGCTCCGAGCGTGTCCTTCATCCACCGGTGAACCTGCTTCTGCCAGCCCAGCAGCATTTCTTCCTTCTTCTGGATGTCCGTGTCGAACTCTGGCATCCAGTCCTCCGGCTTGAATAGCGTCAGGTACGTGTCGTTCTTGGCGCAGCAGTCGCTGGTACCTACATGGTTTACACACTGGAGCGTGGCGACAATCTGAGGAATCTTCTTGCGCAACATCATCTGGTCCATGTCAAGGGCAATGCTCAGACTGCTCCGTATGTCGGACTTGAAGCGCGGGAGCTCCCGCACGCTCCTGGGGCAGGAGCCGTCGCGTGCCGCGCGATGGTGAACGTAGTAGGCCACCTTCTTGGTGAGCTTTGCGAGGCCCTCCTCGTGGGTCGCCTCCTCCGCGTCCTGGGTCTCGCCCGAGAAGGTGATCCCCAGGTCGGGCACGATGATGTTGACCTTCGTGGCCAGCTGCGCCCTCAGCGCCTCTGCGCGGCGGCCGCCGCGGTAGTACCAGGCCCGGACCTTGTTGCCCAGGTGCTGGAGGTCCTCGGCGTGCTCCTCGACGAAGTCGCGGATCTCCTCGCAGGGCTCGACCAAAAACAATGTTTCTCGAAATCGTTTTGTTTTCGTTTCCCTCGTCTTGTCTTCGCTCCGCCGTTGCTGCAAAATGAATGAAATCAAAACGAAAACGTTCCACGAGACCGCTAAAACGCCGTGTAGGTCGAGCCCTGTCTCCTTGAACGACGAGATGACGCCCAGGAACAGCATCATCACCGTGGCGATCACGATGCACGCGAAACCGGCGATCTCCGCAGGTAGCCCGAACTGGAGGGTCCAGATGATGACCCCCAGCAGGAGGCACTGCGAGGCCAGCACGAGCACGTCGCCCTCGGTGAACACCTGAGAGGCAAGTAGAAGAAGAACAAAACGGCAGAAACAGAAACTTTTGGCGCTCCGCGTGGATCTCTTGGATTTGCGCTGGACCCCCCTCCCTGGCGCGCGGAGCGCGCCAGGGGCGGCGCCGGAGGCGCCGCCAGGGAGCCCAGGCGCCGATCCAGGAACTCGGCACGAAGCACCAAAAGTTTGTGTTTATGGCGTTGTTCTCGTTCCAGCAAGGTCGATGAGGGGGGGACTGGTTCAGGGGGTGAAAACATTGACCTGGAATCGGCGATGCCTCGCTGATAGATCGGCGATCAGGGTCCCGACCGCGAGTCCGCGCGCTCCTGGGCGGGGTGGAGCTATCGGGACCCTATCGGCGACTCATGAGCGACTGGGGGTCGATACGTCCCCCCCGGAGTCCATCCCCCCCGGGATCGTTCCCCTGGAGTGCCGTGAGGAGGATGGTCACGGTCTCCAACTGCTCCGCCGCACCGTTGTCGTGCGCGGCCTTCTTCGCCGAGCTGCCCTCCCCGGCCTCACGGGGAGGGGGAGGATGTTCGATCCATCGCGCCGCCAGGGAGCGTGAAGTGAGGAGCGAAGGGGCTTCAGTGGCCACGGCGAACCGCGGCCACGAGCAGAGGTCCCCGACCTAGGTCCAGGGAGCGGCACGAAAACCAGAGTCCGCCCTGAGTGGTATTTCCCTCGGCGCCTTGGCCGTACGCACCACCAGGCCTCTACGAGCCCACCTTGGGGACGTTCGGCCTCCAGCCAGGCCGCGAAGGCCGTTCGCGCCAGGGTCTGGACCCAAGCCGGGCGGGCGAAGGTCTTGCGGTGTATGCGACTGCTCCTGCCGTGGTGACGTCACGTCGCGTCACCGACATGGGCCCTGGAGTTCTCGCACCGCGTGCACCGTTGAGACGTCAAAAGATGCCTGCAGGCGTGCGCCGCCGAGCGCACGATGGCGCGGCTGGCCAGAATCAACGTGATGTTATGTTGACGTCGGAGGCCCTATGACCAGCGCCTCACGTGCTCGACACCAGGCCCGGCTGGAGCCCATCACACAATCTGGGCTGCTGGATGTTGCCTGGTTGAGGTGAGCAAAGCTTGGGGCGAGCTCCTCTGTCAGAAGCCCCCAGTGGCTCTCGATCCCACCCTTCGGGTGGCGTGTCCCCCTACAGGGGGATTTTCGACGAAAAATGAGACATGTCAGAAAAATACCCCCAAAAGCTAAAAAATATTAAAAAATAGTCCCCAGACTATTTTATAATTATTTTTGAAATCTTTTTGTATGTATTTTTCTTTTTCGTCGAAAATCCCCCTGTACGGGGACTGGCCCGACTTAACGTTTGCGTTGTGGCCGCTGCTTCTGTGGGGCCCCAGGGTCTGGCACGGGCCACCAGCAGGCGCTCCGCCTTGAACACCCGCACCTGGGCCGCCGCCGCGTCGAGGAGGCGCAGAACATGCCGAGGGCCACTTTCGCTCAGAATCGATCCTCGGGCCCCTCCCAGACACCGTCCTGTCCGCTGAGCTTCGAGAGCTCCGTCCAGCCGCGGCCAGGAGGGGCCCTGGCAGGAGCACAAGCAAAACCCCCAAGACGTCACCCAGAGGCGCCCCTCCCGGACACCATCCTGGCCCATTGCCTACGGCCGCGCCCGGCCGTGGCCAACGAGGGAGCACCCCCCCTCTGGAGCCCCAGCAGGGCCAGGGGCTTCACCCTCCTCCTCCTTCTCCTGCTCCTCTTCCTTCTGCTCTTCCTCCTCCTCCTCCTCCTCCTCATCCTCCTCCTTCTCCTCCTCTGCCTCGTCCTCCTCCTCCTCATCCTCCTCCTCCTCCTCCTCCTCCCCCTCCTCCTCCTCCTCCTCCTCCTCGTCCTCCTCGTCCTCCTCCTCCTCCTCCTCCTCCTCCTCCTCCTCCTCCTCCTCCTCCTCCTCCTCCTCCTCTCCCCAGAGCCCCAGCAAGGCCGGGGGCTTCACCCTCAGAGGCGCTGCTGGAGGCGCTGCTGGCGCCAGCCAGGGGACGCCGCCGCCGCCGCTGAGGTCGAGGCAATTTCACGACCTGCCTGGGTCGGAACAGGTGCACGACCCGCTCGGGTCGACGCAATTATTCACGACCTTCTCAGTACCTGCCGGCGTCGGAGCAGTCTAGCGCCGCCGCCGCCGCCGCTGCCGTCCACCGACGCCGTCCACAGCCGCCGCCGCGGCCTCGAGGTCCTCGGGGTCCGCGTGGCCGTCCTGCAGCAGCGCGTCGCGCTCCGAGCCCACCGACTTGCCGCTGCGCGCGCTGCGCGAGCTGCGGCAGCTGGCGCTCTCGAGCAGCGTGCGAGCGGAGCGCCTGCTCGACGCGCCCGAGCGCGTCGCTGCCACGTCGTCCGGGGCCGCCTATCAAGGCTGGGTTTGCGAAAATGTCCCGCGCGAGAAGACGCTGGCGTGGGATTCTGCGCCAGACTCCGTTCGATTCGGCAGGAATGGTGCAGGAAGCGCGATCGTTGCCCTCACTTCCTCGCTCGCTGGGGGTCCCGATGGCGTGAGTTTCACAGAGCCTGGCCCGAATCACTGGGAATCGAATCAGGTCCACCTGTTTCCTCCTCCCGCCCCTCGTCCTCCTCTGATTGCGTTGCTCCTTTTCTGGGAGACGGGAGGAGGAGGAACGAGGTGGATCTGCATCAGCGTCCTCCTCCGAATACCCGTCCCAACTGTGCTAGGGCAGCCCATCCCCCAGGTGCCAGATGGGGATCAGACGCTACGAAATCCAGAGGGACAGCAGATGTCCTCACCTATGGGGCAGGTCGGCCAGTTGGGCTGAGGCTTACTTTTCATCCAGCCCTCGGGGCCCGTGTAACCCATCGGTAGAAAGAAGTAGGTAGAGACAGGAAGTAGGAAGGCGTCGGAAGTAGCTTGGGCTTCCGCCCGCCCCCCTAACGATGAGGGAGGGGGGAAAGACGCTCGTTGATGGAAGTAGGAAGGCGCCTGAAGAAAGATCGGGCTCTGGGAATCCAGAAGTACCTTCAAGTCGGGCGTGTCCCCCTACAAAGGGATTTTCGACGATAAATAATAATTACCTTAAAACTACGCCAAAAAGGTCAAACATATACTCAAAAAATAGTCCCCAGATTATGTTTGGAATATTTGTGGGGTAATTCTTTATTTTTCGTCGATAATCCCCCTGTAGGGGGACACGCCCGATATAAAAGCACCTCCTTTCAACGACCGAAGGGAAACAATTAGTGAACACCCCCCCTGCCCCCCAAACCCAAGGTTGCCACGCGCGGGGGAGACGGCGGCCGAGGTGCAGCTCAGCAGACCCACCGCCAACTTTGCACAACATTGGGGGGAGGGGGAGGCGCTGACGGATGAATGTGGCATGTGTTCGCTAATTTGTCCCGAGGCCTGGAAGTACCTCGTGGGGGATTTTTTTTTATGTTTTGAATTATTTGTGGGGTACTTTTTTTTTTTATTTTTCGTCGAAAATCCCCCTGTAGGGGGACAGGCCCGACTTAAAAGCACCCCCTTTCCACGACCGAAGGGGTCCCGCTGCGGACGGCGGCGGGCGCGCCACGGCCCGACCGAGCACTTCTCGGCCACCCCCGGGGGGGGGGACCCACGGGCGGCGGCCTCGCCCCGCGACCCCGCCAAGACCCAACGCGCACGACCCGCGGGCTGCCTACTGCTGGCCGCAGGGCGGCCTCACACGCCGCTGGGGGCTGCCTGTCGTGAAGGGGGCCCCAGGACACACAAAGAAATACATACAAATAAAAAGATCCCCCATATGTTCAGGTAGTTTCTGGGTTTTTGTCTTCCCCCACACTTCCCATATTTTCTGGGGAATCGACGATTCATCGTGTCTGTGTGTTTTTTCCCTCCTGATTTCGGTGGGGACGGGGAGAAAAGCCTGACGCTGCTGACGGAGAAAGGGGGACCACGGAAGGGGCCATCGCCCGTCCACGCGAGAGCCTTGGTAGACCCTCCCCCTGGGCATCCGACGCCCCGAACAAAAAGATTGAGGCGGCCGACTGCCCGCCCTTTTTTTTCAACCGGAGTCTGGCTTCGGGCCTCGGGATGATCAACAAACACACTTTCCAGCTCTCAGTGAGCGACAAGCCACGGGGAAGGGGTCGAAAGGTCCGCGGGCCCACGAATCAAAAAGTCGAGACGCCAGACGCCTGGGCTGTCTACACGATATCTGACAGTGGGGGGAAGGACCCTCCCGGACGAGCCACTTTAGACCACCCCTGGCGCATCGGAGAATTCGCCGGCCCAACGGGCTAGAGGCGTGCTAAGATCTCCGGTAGCTGGTAAACAATCTTTCTAGTTCGCGCGCGCGGGGCGGGCCCTGGGGGTCCCCGGACGAAAAGTACCCCCGCAAACTCCCGGCAAGGTTCCGGCAAGGTCCTGGCAAGGTCCCGGCAAGGTCCCAGCAAGTCCTGTTCAAGGATGCCGGAACTCTTTTTCGGAGCCCCAGAGGGCTCCAAATCGGTCTAAGAGGGCGCCAAGAGGTCTCCCAGACGGTCCAAGAGGCCCCCGAGACGCCCAAAGCGCGCTCCAAGACGCCGATGATGACCCAAAGACGGCCCAAGAGGCCTCCAAGTGGCCTCCAAGAAGCCTGACAAGAGGGCACGACAGGCAAAAGTTATCAATTTTACTATGGTTTTGGAAGGATTTTGGCCTTGTCGCCTGTTCGGCCATCCGATGCTCCAAGACGGCCCAAGAGGTCCCCAAGAGCGTCCCAAGACGGGCCAAGAGGCTTCCAAGAGGGCCCCAAGAGGGCCCCGAGACGGCCCAAGAGGCGCCCAAGACGGCCCAAGACGGCCCCAAGACGGCCCCAAGAGGGGCCCAAGAGGGGGACCACGAACAGAAAACTTGAGCCTTCCGCCCCAAGAGGGCCCCAGGAGGCCCCGAGAGGCCCTCAAGAGGCCCCAAGATGCCGCCAAGAGGCACCCAAGAGGCCCCAGGAGGCCCCCAGGAGGCCCAAAAGAGGCCCCAGAAGTTCAAAAAAGCCGCTCAGGCGCCCCCGAACGACTTCTCAAAAGACCCCAAGAGGCTCCCAAAGAAGCATCTTGACGACGACCCTGTTTGGCCCCAAGAGCAACACAAGATGCCAACGAGAGGCTTCCTCCTCCGCCCCTTCCCCTTCCCCTTCCTCCTCCTCCTCCTCCTCCACCTCCTCCTCCTCCTCCTCCGCCTCCTACTTATCTTCATCCTCCTCCTCTCCTTCTCATCCTCTCCTCCTCCTCCTCCCCTCCCCTTCCCCATCCTCATCTTCCTCCTCCTCGGCGGCGCCACAATGGCCCCGGGCCCACGGCGAAGCAGTAGCGATCATGCAACATGAGCCGGCGGAATGAGCGAAGCGATTGAATAAGCCCCGTCGCCACGGCTTGAGCCCCCGCGACAACCACGGCGCTCCAGACAAGTCCAGGGGGCGATTTCGAGGGGTCCGAAGAAGAGGACCAGCACCTTTCGAGGCGGATGTGCTTCGCCACTTCTGGCCTGCAATGGCCAATGGCCGCATCTGGGCCATGGGAGCCTGGAAAAATGCTCGGAAGCTGGTCTCAGCAGCGGTGCGAGCGGTCCGGTGCCCACGTGCCTGAACAGAAACCACGACAACGAAAGTCAGGGCGCCAGCGGTTGGATCTCACAATCTCTCACGATTTGGCCCCACGTATTCGACTCCGGAAACTTCTGCCGCCTTCCGCCGACCATCGGCCCGCGTCCGCCAGAGGACCCGCTGACGTTCGACTCCCGCCACCTTCCGCCGAAGGCGACGATTCGCCGACGGCAGGGCCCTCTCTGGAAAGCTACAGTGTGCTTGTGGAGGAGTGGTAGTGTGGTGTACTTCCCGTCTCTCGACCTTCGGCTCGACGCGAACCAGCGTGTTCTCGAGGGAA